AACAGCCGGAGAAAACGGGTAGTGAAAGCTCAACTTCCCGCGGCCGAGAGGAAGTTGCTGCTGCTCGCCCAATTCCAGGATATGGGATGCCCGCCTTTCCGCCTGTGTTCAAAACCCGGAAAAGGTGGTCCTATGTGGTCCTTTGATTTCTAGGGTCGCTGGGCGACTGAGCTGTCAGGAGATAGGAGAAGTAATGCTCGTCCTGCCTGGTTTCCGCAAGAAGTGAGTTCTGGCCATTGAGGATGGACCTGCACAAGGGAGCAAACACATCAGGGCTAGCCCTTGGAAAGTGGAAAATCGGATTCGTCTACTTCCAATAGGCAGAGTTCCTCCGACTAGCAGGGCCTCCAGGCAAATCCGACGTTGAATTTACTTGCCTACGCTTGCTCTTATCAACTAAATCATTTTGCTTTTGCAGAAGTCGTTCGCAGCACACTCTCCAGGCTGTTTTTGTTTGCTAGTCGGATGAATCCTGGAACACGTTGCGCAACTTGGCTGAAACAACACCTTCACGCCCGCTCTGCGGAACTAGCTCAATCAGTATGATCATTGAACACGAAGACGCTGCTGCTTGTCTACCGTCCAGGGTCTAATCCAGAACTACGAGTGATTGCCACCCCACGGGGCCCGAGGGCCTCGATTGGTAGACTCCAGCCTGTGAACCCAGCACCACGTCGGTGCCCATTCTTTATTTCAAGCAATTATTGTTCAAGGCATCTTTCCATGGAAGGAGGGGTCACTTTTCAGAAATGGCACCTTTCTGCGTTTGTGGGTTTCTGCTTTTCAGCTCCATTTGAGAAATCGGCTCAAGTTGTTGAAGCTGCCGCCCTTCCTTGGTACTTTGCAATAGCTGGCCTCACCTTTTCGAGTTCTTTCACGGACTGCTTGCAAAGACTCCCTCGTGGGTGGATCGGTGCTGATAAGACATGTTGTGCATGTGCAAGTGCCTGGATGGCTTGAATCATCTTTCTTTTTTCACCTCAATTTGAGGTGAGTTCCCTTTCGAGGTGACATTTGGGCGTTTTAGGGAAGGGGCATTTGGTCCAACATGAGCCATAAAGCGTCATTCCACAGTTGCGAGGAAAAAACAACAAGCTGTTGGCGGGTGCCTTTGGGATTCACCGAATTGGCTTACTGAACATTCTTAGTCATGATGGGTTCAGCATTACTTTGCCTGCAAGAAGTTGTACGCTAGGTTCTGGACGAATGACTTTGTTACCATACAAAAGGACCGCAACAGAATTGTGTTTGCGACCCCGAACCCCATCAAGGTGTCGTTTCTGGTGTCCCTCATTTCAGGTCAAATCAAATTCGCTGACGCTCTTTCCAACAGCCATGGAAGCGGACAGGACGAAATGGGAACTGAGGCTTGTTCGGATTGAGCAAAGGCATGCATTGCTGGCTGATCAAGCAATGCAGGCAAAGCACTGTGAGGACAGCCCCTGCTTCAAGGCAAGAAACCTTGGAAGGATGGGATGCTTCTTCGGCAACCCCCTTGGAACTTGCTGGTTGGATAGGGTTTGTGCCAGGATTTCCCGCATTTCCCCTGAAACTGCCAGTTGAAGGGTGGTCAAAAAGCATTCGCTCGGTGGGGTGAAGGGTAGATACCCAGCCATCCACCGCTCAGACGCAATATTTGAGGCGTCTGCCTCCCCGCCCTTGGGACGGCGGAAATTCGGAAAGCAGCCGGAGAGGTGCGGAAGCCGATGGCAGCCCTAGTCACTTTGTGGGTTTGGGCCATTTTGGTGGCAAACCAAAGAAGCTTAGACTTTTTTGGGCGATCCACTCAGGAATTAAGCCTTGGAGTTGAAAGGTTGCCCAAACCTTAAGACGTTTGACAGAGCTTGGAGGGCCCCCTCCCTGTTTCCAATTGGGAAGATCCAGAAAGGTCGGCCTTGTTTGGTTGCCAGCCGGGAGTGAACGCTTCCTTTTGAGACAAGGTTCCCTCAAAAACCCAGCAGCCCACACCCTCAAAGCAGGCCAATGGAAACCTGGGCGTCTGCAATGGGAATCCAACGCCATCCAAATCCCAAGAAAAGTCACTGAGGACAGTCCAACTTAGAGGGCTTGGGGTGCGTCTTTTTCCCCAGAAAGGTTCACCGGGGACCTTGGGGCTTCTCATCGAAGAATGCTTAGGACCCTTCTGGGTCGAGTCGCCTGATAGGTCCTTCTTTGCGGGGGATCCGCTGTAGCGCGAAGGCCCCCAGCTCAAGTGAAACCCGAATTCAATCACCACTCGCCTGATTCGCCCCTGTAACGCCCTTTTTCGTAAGAGAAACCAGAGGAGGAACCCCACAAAAGGATGGGAATTGCCTGATCTGATGAGGGGCTGTGCACGTTGCATCTCTGAACTGCAAGCTTGGCGGAAGACCGGGGGCAGCACATTTTGAGACAAACCTGTCCTGGGTCACTTCATTTGGAGGCGGACTGTGTTTCAAGGGATGCATGCACTTGGGTGGAAGTAGAAGCAAGTCTTCACTGTACATTTCCCGTCCCCTCCTCAGCAAGCTGGGGTCTCCGTCAATTCAAAACACATATTGGTGTATGAAGCAGCATCTAGCATTGTGTGTTGTGCACCCCCGCTGGCAAGAAAAAGAGTTCTGCAATCTGCTGAGCTCGGGACTTGTTCTTTGCCACAAACTACGAGCATGCCTCGCTTTGGCAAAGGAACGGGGGCAAAGTTGCCAGGGTGATTGGAGAGGAACGTGAAGTGGAAACACTAGAATTAATATTTGGACACCTTATCAAAGACCAGAGATGTACCAAATATTCAAAGACTTGCACTGTATAAAGATGTACAAACCTATATGAAACTACGTTGGCTCAAAGACTGGTGGTCCTGGCAAACTATACAACCAACGCATCATGTTGAGCCCTCCCATCGAAGCGAAACCACTCGTAAGATGTCAGAGCCGCAAAGTAGGATTCACACCAGAAAGGCCTTTGGGTGTTGGGTGCGTGCTGGCCCCCATGTTTGTGTCATGGTTCTGAGGATACCCTGATTCTAAACGATCATTTTGGAGGTCTAAACCATATTTTGACCCACAGCCCTGTGAGAATTAGTTCCAATCATTCAGGTTCTCCTTGGTTGGTGGTTTGTTTCGATGGCTCGGGGGAGTTGATCCTTTACATGGGATGACTATTGCTCCATTTCTGCCAGAAAGCCCCAGCCAGCTCAACCTGTGCACGAGGCTGGGACAATGTGTGGGCTATGGTCGGGATAGTAAGGTTGTTCCTGATATGATGACCGACTGACCGAGAGACCGACAGGGAACCCGCCAGAACCGTTACCCCAGTAATATTGTCCGTTGTTCCCGCATTGATCGGCTGAATGATGCATCCATGCATGCTTTTTCAGTTCCTCTTTGAGGTCGCCGTTTGCATCAGTATGGGTCATACGTTGTGCTGCTGTTGGGTGGTTGGTCAAGGTTGCCATCGATCACCACGCAACTGCAAAAGGGGTACCCTGTCGAATGGCGTGCTCCAAGGGTACCACGAGGAAGCCATCCATTTGCCGGTGTTTTTTGGCAATAACCTGACCCAAGCCAAAGGTTCGGGTGCTTCCGAGAGCCTCCCAAATGCATTGAGCCCCACAGCTTTCTGGTGGCATGTATGTAGACCAGAAGGGTTCGTCTAGAGACCATGTCCCGGTGTTGGAGCAAGGATGCAGCGCATTGCTTCGATGGATCTTTCGGCTTCAAACATTTGGCGATACGCCTTCTTGGATTTCGGACAATGATCTTGCGACCCGCGGTTTTGCCCCACAATGACGCGTGCTTCTTGGGCCAACGTATTTTAGGTGGGCGAATCCATACGTCACTCAGACCTGATTTGAAGATCTTGCGGCTGACGGTCATGGTAGAACGGAGAGGCAAGCCAAGAACCGCTCTAACTGGTTGATGAGCGTCTGCGCTTTGGCCTGCTATTCTTGTCTTTGATCAGAATGGTTGAGTTGCCTCTAGGCTCTAGGGAGCTCGTGGTTCAAGTTGGTAGGCGGAAGTGGAGCCCACTCTGACTTGAGGTAGGGTGCTGACTGCATGTTAGAATGTTTCAACAGGGTCCCTCCGTGAGTGTTACACGCCACCTCGTGGTTATGCGAGGGTGGAAACTTGAAGTGCTACAGAATGCGATCTCAAAAGGAGGCTGTACAAGTGAGGATTTCTCACATCTTCTTTGACTCAATTCACATGTTCAGATTAAGCCACAATCAGACATATGTTTTTGTTGGGTGGGGTCAAAGGCTAACGTAGATGGAACGATGTTTGATCTGTAAGCTCGTACTGAGCACTGGGTGAGGGCTCAGCTTCTGTTCGAACTGTGGGAACTGGGTGCAGCTTTGACAAATTCAGCCGGCAGGAGCAGGCTACATTGGTGGATGTAGAGGCGGGCTTGCATCCATCATTAGGCTGATGTATGGGGGGCGAGGATATCAAACTGCAAGCTGCCTTTGAACCGCACAGTTTTGGTTGCGTGCACTTGTTGCTGGAGCTTTCGATAATCTTGGGGTGGTTTGGGGTGTTCACCCTGGCGTCAGGACAATCACCTTTGCGTTAGGCCTTGTCAATCAATTTGCGCCACCGTTAAAAGGGAGTGTTCACGGAGTGTTGCCTGTTACCATTCTGTCAACCGCTGACAATCCCGCTTGCTTCTGCTTCCTGGTTTGCTTTTGACAGCAGGTTGCCGTGTGGCCGTTGTTGGCATAGTGGTTCAGCTCACCGCGGCGCGACATGTTCTCTTCTCTTTTAGGACTAAGGCATTTCATCGGCTTCCTGTTCCTCTAGGGGGTGATTCCCTGTTCTTTCCAGCCCTCGTTTCTTTCAGCAGCCGTGTTCCCTGGGTTTTGGGGCGTTTTTTGTTTTCCCTGGGTTTTTTTCTGGGCTTTGGGGCGGGATTCTTGGTTTCCCCCAGGTTTTCCCTGGGGCGACATCTCTGGAAATCCTTGGCAAACTGGCGGAGGCCAGCCACGGGTTCCGTCCAATCGCCAGGCAGACGTCACCACGCCCCCGCCACGAAGGACCTCCCATGGCAGCAGCGCCAAGAAGCCGCGGCCAAAGGCAGCGAGGGCGCGGCCGTCGTTTTGCCGCTGGCATTGGGTGGTGGTGGTGGTGGTGGTGGTTTGATGAGGAGGAGCAAGAGGAGGAGGAAGAGGAGCAACAGGAGGAGGACGAGGAGGAGGAGCAACAGGAAGGAGCATGAACATGAAGAGGAGGCTGTCCCTTGAGCAGGGCTGATGTTTTGACCCCCCTCAAGCCATCCACAAGCTTTAAAGCCCCTGGTGCGAGTTGAGCGCTTTAAAGCCCCTGTCAGTGTCGCAAAGGGGTCGTGGTTGAGGAGGAATGTGGGCTTGCCACTTCAGACATCGGCTCACTGCGAGCCCTGGAGGTACGATCTCATAAACCCGTCCCATTATTAGGGGGTGATAAACCCCTCCAAAAGTGGTCTGAATCCCCACCAAAAGGGAGCAGGGGTTTATTAATCCGGGGTTAGGGGTGAACATTACTTATCTTGGGATTGTCATGTTGCAGAATGTTTCTCAAATGGGGCTTTCCTAAACTGGTAGGCGTCCGTTAGTAGCCTGTTACAGAGCAACCCAAAGAATTGTGCGCGAATTGTGTATCATCGATCGGTTGCGTGAGTTCTTGAACAGGTCATCGTTTCAGATCTGGTTTGCTGGGCAAATTGGGTTTAAAGGATCCACTGAATCAGTCTGGCAGGTACAGACAGGGAGACGCTTAAACTTTTGCGCCAGAAGGAGGGAGGGAGGGAAGGAAAGAAGGAAGGAAGCGGATGCAAGGAAGCAAGGAAGCAAGAAAACAAGAAATCAAGGGGAGGGTTGTACTTTGATGTTCGGCCTTGACAGCAAATGGCGGGGTACAACAAGTTTACACCCAACTTAAGGGGACTTCGTGGCAGTGGGTTGCAACCTAGGTTGCCAACAACCAACTGGCCGATTCAAGAAGGAACTCACTCAACCAAACACAGTTGGGCGGGGGAGGGGTTGTAACACTGGAAAATTCATTCAGCCGAATGCCTGCGCCAGGCCGATGCCAAGAGGTGCATCTCCGACGGCCGAGTGCTCGGTCGGAAGTCGGAAATCGGATCGCGAGGAAAAACGACGAGCGAGGCGATCGGTGACCTCCAGTGATCCAGTAGATCCCTTTGTGACGTGTTAATTCCCATTGATTTCTTTGTTGTTCAGCGTCGGTTCTGCTATAATTCCCTTCTTGTCCTTTGAGGGCTGGCGTCCCTTTAGATTCAGCCAGCCAATTCTTGGGTGTTCTTCTTCGTTGCCCTGGCCAACCGTTTTGAAGTAAAGGGAGCGGCCCAAACGCGGAAGTTGAGTGATGTTGAGTGTTCCTCTTGACGTCCCTTTAGTAAAAACCACTCCAAAAAGGGTACCCGGTACCCTCAACCAAAAGACACTCGCGAATCGTTTGAAGCCCGAGGCGTTTTAGACCCCCCAGTACGTTTTGGAACGGAACGGCCCCAAACCCGAACCTCATGCGAAGTGGCGTTTGCGCCATCCATCGTGTTTTGGGGTATGTTGAGATTGGCAGTCAGTCAGACGGTTAGAGCGTCGCAACCATCTGGGTCGTCTGTTTGGCAACTGGCCCGCAGGCCCGCAGGCCTCAGTTTGAGCCCGAGCAAGCAACCCTAGGCGCAACCACAGAAACTTTCATCCTTTTTCCTTCTGAGTTCCAGCTTGTTCCCTTTGAGCAGTCACAGATCACAGACCCCTGGAGCAAGATGGTTTGTTCGAGGTCGATGTCCTTCAACCCACCTGACGACTCACATTGAGTCATGAGGACCCTGCCTTTCACCCTCCCACGTTCCCACTTTGCCTCTGGCTTGCCGGGTGGGCAACCCAAAGGGGCACCCATTGCATGTCACTTCCACAGAGCTCACCGGAGGCAAGGAGCAAAGCGAGGCGCAGGGGCAATGGGCCAACCCGTGCTAAATGGACCGCTGGATGTGGATGTGGAAATGTTCACCCTGTTTGGCACCTACGGAAGTTTCAGGTACCCAGACAGATTCCGAGACCCGCTCGTTAGCAAACTAGCAGCTTGTCATACCCAGCCCCGGGGGAGAGCAAGACTTGAGTCACCTCGTCAGATACTTCGGCAGGGGACATTCTGAGGATTCCCTGGTTCACAATCATGTGTGAGTGCTTTTTGACTTCAGGCTCCACCAATGTCGGGGTTCACTGGCTTGTTTTCGCGGGATGGCGTGGTGTTCTTCTGTGGTGGGCTTGGTGGATGAAGTCATGCAGTCAGGAAGGTGGTTCCAATTCTCGGTGGAGACTCAGTCAAGCGCCCTGTTGATAACAATGTTTGGCACCAACCATGGTATGCCGGTCATGTCTTTCTTCGCTTTACTGGCCAGCATGGACCATAGCACGCCGATACCTGCGGGGTGTCTGGTGGGCTCAGCTATGGATGTTCTAGTCCATGCTGTTGTAAAGATGACGCTGGGTCAGTATGTGGACAGCCCTCCTGAGGGTAGCCCTGACCCTACGTTGGATCACCTTAGGGCGCTCCCCTCTGTTAAGACAAAGTCACGTCAGAGGGTGGGGTTCTTAGCTGGTGACTGTGGAGGTTATCAAAGTCGGAAACTGGTTGGTTGATTTCCCTGTCGCATACCACTCGGGAGGTGACTTGGGTATCTTCCATTTGCTTAAGACTTTTTGTATTTTCGCCTGTTAGTTTACAGGAAATCTATCACTACTGGACATATTGCAATTTGTCCATTGGGCTGAAGCAAATGGAAGGCATGGGGTCAGGTTTCCGTGTGACAGGAGCCTCGCACCTTGGAGCACGCCTTTGCCAAGGGCAAGAAAGGCCAGCCGGTGCTTCAGGTGAAGCTACGGATGGACGGAATCCATTTCGCACCACCTTGAAACCATGATTGAAACCATGACGCTTGTTGGCATCAGCGGAATCATCATTCCAGGGTTTCTTAGGTGGTGCAGGATTTCGTGCATCCACAGTATGGCCACCTGCACTTTCTTGTTTTCCCTTTGGGGGGGGACCTACGAAAAAAGGTGTCAAACCCGGTACGGGAGGGGGCCGAAAAAAGGATTGTTCGAACCAAATGGTCTGGTGAAGACCACTGGACCTTTTGACCTTTTGGCTTTTCCTTTTTGATCTAGTTTTGGTCATGGCCCCAAAAATGGTTATACTTTCATTTCCGGGTCCTTGCAGTGAGATAAGGAAGTGGTTAAGCTTCACTGGGTCCCAAGCCCAGCTGGGAGCTTTGTGTTTTCCTCACGGAGGCCCCACAGGGTTTTGAGAAGGGCCCACTGGGTATGGAACAGGTGCTTGGTTGTGCTTGAAGTTCGATGCCCTGTTCATCTTGGATCGAAACCAACAGCAATAGCCCACATTTTGGGGTCCCCTTGTTTAACTCGCACATGCTCAAATGGAACAACAAACATAGTTTTCCCAGGAAACCAAAAGGGGCTGGGCAGTGCGTTAAATAAGCACCCAGTTCTGACTCCCAATGTTCTGACTCCCTGTGTTGCTTTCCGCCATGCAGGCGTCTGAAGGGTTGCCATGGCCAAGGGGGTTGGGATAGGAGCACTGGGGAAACCCATTTGGATAGGAACCCATTGGGAGCCCATTGGGAACCCACTGGGAACCCATTGGGAACCCATTGGGAACATTGGCGGGGGACTTTGGACAGGGACTTTGGATCTTGTTTCTCGTCTTTGATGTGACCTGTGAAGCCGAGGCCTCAGTGCCCAGCGCAAGCTGCTCTTTCAAGTAAGCTATGAGTTTGGTCTTCTGACTTTAGACTTATTTGTTACCTGTGAAGCTGAGGCCTCAGTGCATACCACGAGCACAAACTGCTCTTTGAAACATAAGCTGGTGTTTGGCTTGTCTTGCAGTCATTTCTATGGGACCGTGTTCAGGCCGACGCTTGCGTTTGCGTCATTGCTCTATGGGTGTTTTGTTGAGGCTAGGATGTGGGGGGGGTATTCCAAAGGAAAGCTGAAGGGTAAAGCTGGTCGGAAACCACAACATTTGGGGGCTGCCCTTGAAGAAAGCTGCATGGGTACCATGAGTTTAAGGGGTGTCCAGAAGGAAAGCCAAATGTGAGACCGCCCAATTTTCGTGGCTGCCGTCTAGAGAGAAACACCCTGCGAGGCGGCGCAGCTGAGGCAAGGGACTGATCGAGTGGGTCTAAGTGACTGTATCACCTAGTTCAGTGGACCCGGAAGATAATTTACCCTTTCACTCCCGCCTCAAAAACATGGTTACATTTTTGCTTATTGTGGTTTAGTGGGAAATCCCAACTTAACAGCTAAAATTTATTTTTTGCTGCCCTTCCAACGTCAACCAAGAAAAGACCCCCCCACCTGGGTAGTCGGCCAAGTTAGTAAGTTGGTAGCCTGGGTTTTGCCCACTTTTGAATCCCCCTCAGTGGGGTTCACCTCGCGCTTAGGGGGTGGACAAAAAACATTGGTGGCAAACCGCTTACTAACTTGGACAATATTCAGTAGTCTCGAAATTGCAGGATCGCTCGGTTGTGAAGTCCTATTCCCCGTTGAAGCCATCCCCCATCCTATTGTTGTTGGGTTGCTGATGGCTACGACAGCTCAAACTGTGCAGGGTTGAAAAAAGGGCTTTCAGTGCAGGCGTTCCCGAAAACTGGTCAACCCCAAAAAGAGGTGTCCCACCTTTCCGCGGTCGCTGGACAACTGGGTTCCGCTCTTGGTGGATGGGTTTCAGCATTAGCTTCACACAGTTGTTCAGTGGCACCCTAAAAAATGTGTTTTTTTTCCAAAAAAGGGTTCCCTTATTTCCAGGGTCACTGAACAACTGAGTTCAGTATGTTTGGCCAAGGAAGTACGACACAGCACTTGCAGGAAGTGTTGCAATGTTCGCGCAGGGTAGTTTGAGCCTTGGTGGTTTGATGGTGGAAGCAACTTGAGAAGATAAGCGTCACTGCAGCAGAGGTCCTTGTTGCTTGCAGTGGCCCTGCTTCAAAGGTCTCCATCACCCGGAACCAGCTGTTCCCACAGTTTGTGTCTCAGTGTGCGTAGCTCTTGAACGTTTGCGCCTCAAAGCCTGCTGTTTACAACCGTTTGGTGCACAATTGAGAGACCGCGCCAACTTCCAGAGGATGTCAATTGTTCCAGGAGCTGGTCAATTCTTTGTTGCCGATACTTAGTAGTAAGGACTTCATTGTTCCATGTTGTCTCCTTGTCTTCATTATAAGTGGCAGGCTGCAAAGAGCACCTTTTTGTTGGCAACATATGCAGGCTCGGAAGCTGAATGAGGTGCATGCATGTAAACCTTCCCTTGTTTGCCTCCTTTGCGATGGGCCACTTTGTGATAAAGAAACTGTGTTTGAAAAAAGTCCAAACTTCTCGTTTGGCACCAAACTGGTCTTCCCAAAAAGCAATTCACGCCCAGGAACGGATCCAACGAGCAAAACTTGGGCTCCTGAAAGCCATAGATGGCCCTTGTCATGGAAACGCAACATTTTCCCAAACATTTGGAGCAGCGGGTTGGCCGTACCCGGGTAGATGAAGAGTCCGGCCCCTTTGAGGGTTGTCTTTTGGGGGCGGCCTTAATTTTCCACACTTCTGCCCGTCAGGAGTTGTTGTGTTTGTTTCGGGCGGCATGCGCCGCTGAGGGACAGGGGCCCGGCGATTGCCGATTGCCGTGCCCCGATCCCAAAGGAGTTTGAGTCACTCACCAGGTTCCCACGTAGGGGGCCGCAATGAACAGAATATGAAGGTTGATTGTGGATCACAGTGGCTCATCTTGGCTCCACTGCAGTTCCTTGCTAAAGGGGAAGCAGCCCTGATTAGAGCGCTCGTCCAGATGCCGCAGTTATGTAAAATGAAGGGTATAGTGAGCAACAATCAGTCAGCACATGAACCCCCACTTGTGGAGTTGTGGCCTGGGACATCTCCAGATATGGGGCGAAGTGTAATGATTGGTTGGCTATGCTAGTTGATCGTCACTCACCAGAACTGGCTCCACTGGGGTTGGACCCCTCAAGTCCAAGACTTGGCGCTGCCAGGCCAAACGGAAGTCGCTCGGACCCAAAGGCACGGCTTTTTGTCTCTTTGGGGGGGGGGGGCGCGGTGGGGGGGGGGGGGGGCAATTGGGGCATATTTATTTTAACGCCTCCGGCTCAGGCCGCCGACATTACAGGCCTGCTTTCTTATTTGCGTCCCTTTGGAATTGTCCCCTTGCCCCCCTTCCCCTCTAAGATGTTTGCCCCCCTTTCCCTGTTGAGATCCATTCCCCCTTTCCCCCCTAAGGCCCTTTCTCCCTCTGAGATTTTGTCCCTTTTGCTCCCTAAGATGTTTTCCCCCCTCTCCCTGTTGAGATCCTTTCCCCCCTTTCCCCCCTAAGCCCTTTTCCCCCCTGAGATCTTCTCTCTTTTCCTCCCTTTCCCCCACTTTCCCCCCTAAGGCCTTTTCCCCCCCTGAGATCTTTTCCCTTTCCTCCCTGAGATCTTTCCCCCCCTTTCCCTGTTGAGATCCTTCCCCCCCTTTCCCCCCTAAGGCCTTTCCCCCCGCTGAGATCTTCTCCCTATTCCTCCCTAAGATCCTTTGCCCCCTTTCCCTGGTGAGATCCTTTCCCCCCTTTCCCCCCTAAGGCCTTTTCCCCCCTGAGATCTTCTCCCTTTTCCTCCCTTTCCCCCACTTTCCCCCCTAAGGCCTTTTCCCCCCCTGAGATCTTTTCCCTTTCCTCCCTAAGAGCCCCCTTTCCCTGTTGAGATCCTTTCCCCCCTTTCCCTGAGGCCTTTCCAGATCTTCTCCCTTTTCCTTCCTAAGATTGTTTCCCCCCTTTCCCTGTTGAGATCCTTCCCACCCTTTCCCCCCCAAGGCCTTTCCCCGCCTGAGAGCTTCTCCCTTTTCCTTCCTAAGATCATCCCCCCCCCCCGTTCCCTGTTGGACTTTTTTCCCCCAGATCTTCTCCCTTTCCTCCCTAAGATCTTTTCCACCCCTTTCCCTGTAGAGATCATTTCTCCCCTGTGCCCCCTAAGGCCTTTGCCCCCAGATCTTCTCCCTTTCCTCCCTAAGATCTTTCCCCGCCTTTCCCTGCTGAGATCCAATCCCCCCTTTCCCCCCTAAGGCCTTTCCTTCCCTGAGATCTTCTCCCTTTTCCTCCCTAAGATCTTTTGCCACCTTTCCCTGTTGAGATCCTTTCCCCCCTTTCCCCCTAAGGCCTTTTTTCCCCCCGCGATCTTCCCCCTTTTCCTTCCTAAGATCTCTTCCCCCTGATCCTTTCCCCCCCTTTCCCCCCAAGGCCTTTTCCCCCCCAAGATCTTCTCCCTTTTCCTCCCTAAGATGTTTTTCCCCCCTTTCCCTGTTGAGATCCTTTCCCCCCTTTCCCCCCTAAGGCTTTTCCCCCCCTGAGATCTTCTCCCTTTTCCTCCCCAAGATCTTTTCCCTCAGTTGAGATCCTTTCCCGCTTTCCCCCCTAAGGCGCCTTTTCCCCCCTGAGATCTTCTCGCTTTTCGATCCTTTCCCCCTTTCCCCCCTAAGGCCTTCTCCCCCCCCGAGATCATCTCCCTTTTCCTCCCTAAGATCTTTTCCTTTCCTTTCTTTATTGAGATCCTTTCCCCCCTGTCCCCCCTGACGCCTTTTCCCACCCTGAGTTCTTCTCCCTTTCCTCCCTAAGATTTTTTCCCCCCTTTCCCTGTTGAGATCCTTCCCACCCTTTCCCCCCTAAGGCCTTTCCCCCCCTGAGATCTTCTCCCTTTTCCTCCCTAAGATCTTTGGCCACCTTTCCCTGTTGGCCTTTTTCCCCCAGATCTTCTCCCTTTCCTCCCTAAGATGTTTTTCACCCCTTTCCTTGTTGAGATCATTTCTCCCCTTTCCCCACTAAGGCCTTTGCCCCCAGATCGTCTGCCTTTCCTCCCTAAGATTTCCCCCCCCCCCCCCCTTTCCCTGCTGAAATCCTTTCCCCCCTTTCCCGCCTAAGGCCTTTCCCCCCCTGAAATCTTCTACCCTTTCCTCCCTAAGATCTTTTGCCACCTTTCCCTGTTGAGATCCATCCCCCCTTTCCCCCCTAAGGCCCTTTCTCCCTCTGAGTTTTTTCCCCCGAAGATGGTTTCCCCGCTCTCCCTGTTGAGATCCTTTCCCCCCTTTCCCCCCTAAGGCCTTTTCCCCCCTGAGATCTTCTCCCTTTTCCTCCCTTTCCCCCCCTTTCCCCCCTAAGGCCTTTTCCACCCCTGAGATCTTTTCCCTTTCCTCCCTGAGATCTTTCCCCCCCTTTCCCTGTTGAGATCCTTTCCCCCCCTTTCCCCCCTAAGGCCTTTCCCGCCGCTGAGATCTTCTCCCTATTCCTCCCTAAGACCCTTTGCCCCCTGAACCTGTTGAGATCCTTTCCCCCCTAAGGCCTTTCCAGATTTTCTCCCTTTTCCTTCCTAAGGTTGTTTCCCCCCTTTCCCTGTTGAGATCCTTCCCACCCTTTCCCCCCTAAGGCCTTTCCCCGCCTGAGAGCTTCTCCCTTTTCCTTCCTAAGATCTTCCCCCCCCTTTCCCTGTTGGCCTTTTTCCCCCCAGATCTTCTCCCTTTCCTCCCTAAGATCTGTTCCACCCCTTTCCCTGTTGAGATCATTTCTCCCCTTTCCCCACTAAGGCCTTTGCCCCCAGATCTTCTGACTTTCCTCCCTAAGATCTTTCCCCCCCTTTCCCTGCTGAAATCCTTTCCCCCCTTTCCCCCCTAAGGCCTTTCCCCCCCTGAGATCTTCTGCCCTTTCCTCCCTAAGAGCTTTTCCCACCTTTCTTTATTGAGATCCTTTCCCCCCTGTCCCCCCTAAGGCCCTTTCTCCCTCTGAGTTTTTCCCTTTTCCTCCCTAAGATGTTTTCCCCCCCCCTAAGGCCTTTTCCCCCCCAAGATCTTCTCCCTTTTCCTCCCTAAGATGTTTTTCCCCCCATTTCCTGTTGAGATCCTTTCCCCCCTTTCCCCCCTAGGCCCTTTCCCCCCTGAGATCTTCTCCCTTTTCCTCCCTAAGAGCTTTTCCCACCTTTCTTTATTGAGATCCTTTCCCCCCTGCCCCCCCTAAGGCCTTTTCCCACCCTGAGTTCTTCGCCCTTTTCCTCCCTAAGATCTTTTCCCCCCTTTCCCGCTTAAGCTCCTTTCCCCCGTTTCCCCCCTAAGGCCTTTTCCCCCCAAGATCTCCACCCTTCTCTTCCCAAAGTCTTTTTCCCCCTTTCCCGTGTCCCCCCATTGCCCCCTAGGGCCCGTTCCCCGCGAGAAAGATTTCCCTTTTCCTCCCAAAGATCTTTTCCCCCCTTTCCCCCCTAAGGATCTTCTCCCTTTCCTCCCTGAGATCTTTCCCCCCGTTTCCCTGTTGAGATCCTTTCCCCCCTTTCCCCCCTTCATTTCCAGATGTTCCTTCACCAGCATGGGCAACATCGCCAGCATCACTTGCATCATCCGCATCCTTGGCAGGCGCTGATGCGAATGATGCAGGTGATGCTGGCGATGTGCCGCTGGAGCTGCTGAGGATGCGAAAGCGGACCTGGGGGAATCGAACACCCCCCATGTTTTTGACACAAGCCCGATCACCGCGTGGTACGTGGACCCCCCCCCCCCCCTGGGGAGGGGTAAGGGGAGGGGTAACAGGTAAAGAGGTAAGGAGCATTTCTTATGTCCAACACGCCGTCTGTTGTCGGCGGATTTGGTGCACTTACCCGCCAGCAGTTTGAAGCATGTTTGAGTTACTTCTCGATGAGGATCCGCTTTCGCCGTTGTTTTCGCCTATGGTTTCCAAGGGTTTTTTGTGGTACCTGAGGCCTCCTCCAATTGCATGAAAAACCTGTAGGCTTATCGGAACACCCCCTTGCCAATCATGGTGGGGCTTCCCCAAAAGAAAAGTAGTCTTCCAGAGCCCTTCTGTCGACTTCCATGATTCGAGGGAGCGTATGCAACAGACTCAGAACATTGTCTGTGTGGTTCAGATGTTGGCCAAGTCTAAGTTCCAACTTGTGGTCAAAGCCGGGCTTGCGGGGCTGCGGGCTTGTTCTCACATGGCTGATTTCCTATAGTGGATACTTGGTGTTCTGCTCTCTGATCCGGGGTCCCAATTGTGTTTTGCTCGGTTTGAGGGTACAGAAGGAGGGACCGCAGGGCCTAAGAAAATTGGAATGGATTCACGGGGTACTTTTACACCATATATATATATATATTATGTATATATCGATATGTATGTATATATATATATATATGTGTGTGTGTGTTTACTATATATATATATATATATATCTAAATTGGGTCGTTATTAAATTAGGTCACGCGTGTCCAGGAACAATATGCGCAAAGTAGGCCCTCACTCTCGGAAGCTGACTTGCGGTATGGAGTTCCCCAGAAGCCCAAGATTGGAATGAGGGGAAGGGGGTTGTCCCCTGCACCATGGAACGGTACACCCCCCCCCCAAAGCGAAAGACGCTTTCATTGGGAAGACAAATCGTTTAGCCCGCGGCATCAGCAAGCAATTCCCGCAGGCGACCTCTGAGTCATACCAATGCACCCTTGTGGGAAACGACGCCATCTGTGGATGTGTCCAGAGAACCGCGACTGAAGAGTGTCACACCAGGTCTTTCCATTCGGTTCCCCTTCTGTTGCCAAGCGGAGTCTGGAAGAGGTGGTTACAAGTTACTGCATGCCTTTTTTGTAACGCAGGGCGCATGTCACAGACATAACGATATACTTTCGAACGGGATCACGCACGTGTGGTTGTTCCTTGCCGGTTGGGGATAACTTCCAGTAAAGATAGGACCTCGGTGGGGTGGTGCCAGGAGAGCAAAGTGAGGTGCAGGAGTTAGATCGCGCGGACGCTGCTGCGGGAGAGGAGAAAGAGCCGAAAGGGCAGCCGCCAAAGCAGCCCAAAGAGCCCAAAAAGAAGGAGCCGAAGGAGCCGAAGGAGTCGAAGGAGAAGGAGGCTGCAGAGGAGAATGAGGCCAAGGAGCAGCCAAAGCAGGCGCTGAAGGACACGGAGCCACGTGAGTTGCCGGAATCGAGGCCCTCGAAGAAAAATGCCAAGCCGAAAGGGCCGCAGGCGGCAGAAGAGAAGGAGCCCAAGGCCAAAGGAGCCAGGGCCAAGGAGACGGACGAGGAGCCAAAAGAGGATGCCAAAGGGCCCAAAGGTAAAGGCGCCAAAAAGGAAGCCAAGGGCAAAAAGACCAAAGAGGTTTTAGAGGCCAAAGAGGCCAGAGACGCCAGAGACGCCAGAGACGCCAAAGAGGCCAAAGAGGCCACCGTTGAAGAGACCGATGAGTTAAAGCCATCCGGGCCGAAGAAAGCGACGAAAGAGGCCAAGCCCAAAGCCCCCAAAGCCCCGAAGCAAAAGCACGCCCAAGGGCCCAGCGCGCCGAAGGGTGCAGCTTCGAAAGCATCGGCGACGGACACGGAGAAAGACGAGGCCTCGCCCGAGGTGGATGACCAAGACAAGGAGAAAGCACAGCCACCTGGCAGTTCAAGCCTGGCTGTTCATGGCTGAAACATATTCTCACTTCCTGTGTTCAGGAACTTTAAAACATTTTGGGAAGACCATTTGAGTGGTGTATATACAGTTTGGACTTTTTTGGGCCATCCACTCAGCCAGTGAGTTTAATTATTGATTTGTTTTGGGTCGCTGGGTGTGATATTGAGCCCCTTTCACGAAGCTGGACACTTTCGGAGTCTCTGGGCTTGGGCCATCCACAAAGTGAGAAGTCGCCATGGGGATGGCCCTAGCTCTGCACTTCTCGTTGCTGCTTGCCCTTTGTGGCTTTGGCGTTGTCCGAATGCACATTCGGGCGAAAGTAGATGGCACAATTCTCCCGTGATGGTTCCAGCATTCCCCTTGCCGATGGACAGGGGTTGTGCAATTCATCTACTTTCACACTGGTGTAGAAGGGCATTTTCACACTAGACGGACACAGGCAAGCCATCTGTTTTTGGAGGGGCTTTGGTTTGTGCAGGGGCTCCCTGGGCTTTGACGCAGGGTTGGGGAACACAATCCGTACAGACCCATCTTGGTAGCAGAGCAGAGGTTTTTGAAAGGACACATCTACGCAGATGTTGTTGCACTGATGGCTTGTTCGCATGGGGTTGTCCAATACCAGAAAAAAGCGAATGGCCCTGCCTTGAATTGCAAGCTCGCCGCTTTTTGGCGAGGGAGGCTTCCCCTTGAATCAAGCACCGGAAAGGGTGGCCTTTCCTCTGACTTCCGAACGTGACCTTCAAAGTTGGGAAAGCCATTTGGCAACCAAAACTTGGTCCCTCCAATCTCAGGATCATGGTCATTCCACTGGAGCCCTCCCCCTCCCTGGGCTCAGCCGAGGAAGAACCCAAAGAACCAGAAGGCCAGCGAAGCGCATGGGGTGGGGAAATCAAAGACAATAAGCTGCTACTTTCCTTGGGGGGTTTCTCAAAATTGGGGACCCCGCCAGAAAGGCGGCATTCCTCCTGGCGTCTCACTAAAGCCATCCAAAAAGTGTCCGCTTTGAAAAGGTGTTCCTTTTGGAACATCTCGGCCAATTGAGGTGAGTTTCCTTTCAGTGGGGTCTGTTCGAGGAACACGGGAGCTCGGTCTACACGTAGGGAATCACTATGAACCCAGGCTTCCCATTTTGGACCCCGTTTGGAGGCTTCCCAAAAAGCGTGCCAGAATCGACCCGCGACAGGTGCGACAGTCCTTGCGCTTGGCCATCAAGAAAGCAGGCGGCTGGAATCCCCAGTTGTGCTCCAGCCTGTACCTCCAGCCGGCGTTCCGTCCCCCCCAAGTTGTTTTTTTCTTCGAAAAGATGTCTTCCCAATCAGGCAATCAGGACGTAGCCGTTTTGGCGCAGGCGGCACTTGGGTTTGTCTTCAAGTAGAGGAACCTCCAAAATGGGTTGGTTTCCTTTTGGCTTCCCTTTCAATCCGTGCAAGAATGGGCACTACAAAGCCATTTGCGGATCTTTTCTTCCGTTTTCTGCACTGGTTACTCTTTGCCTACAGCCTGCCGTCGTCCAACCCAGACTGCGAATTTCACTCTGGGCCAGCCGGTCGAGCCTAGGGCATGCAACTCCACACTTTGAATCGGCCTTTCGTTTTTCAGAGCCATGCGCTGTTTCAGGGAACCTTTGGTGATTTGGAGTGGTTTGATGATTTGAACCCCTGGTACTTTTGCAGGGCAAATGGGAAACCACCCCGGCAACAACCTCCAAACCAAGCCAAGAAACAAGCTAAACCACCAATTAGAGGGAGGCTTACAATTTGTAGCTGGCTAGCTTTCGTTCACCGAAGAGGCACCCAACGGGTGCTGAGCCAGTTGCGGATCCGCTTCTGCATGATGCAGTTTGCATCCGAACCTCTTTTGTTGAGGGGCATCCTCCCAAATGTTTGGTGGGCATAAATCCCCATAGAAATGGTTTGATTCCAGCATCCATACCCTGGTAGGTAGATCCACGGCCGAAGCGCTGCGGGGTCTGCGTGTTGCACGTAGCAACCTCACAGGCCGCAGCGGCTTTCCACTTTTTTAAATCCGCCAGGTTGGTGAATCCGGGATCGACATGGTAGGAGTTCCTTAGGGCAACCCCCCAGGTGTTAGGTTTTCAAAGTTCGGTGCACCAACACCTGGGTAGGACAATCCGATTCTCAGTGCAGCGCACACTTGAGGGCCGCTCTGAAGCTCGCGGGAAAGCTAGCACGGACGCGACCGCCTGCCACTGTTCCGGGCCCAGGTGAAAAGCGGCTCTGGGCAAAGGAGGCGCCTGGGATACTAAGATAAGCTCGGGCCTCTCAAAGGACGGCACGGTAGTGTTATTTTTTGGTTTACTAGAGAAAGCCCAAACGAGTACGGACAAGAGTTGAAGGCTTCTCGTTTTCTGTCGCAGGGCACAGGCTGCGGTGGATTTGGGCCCGCCCAACAAGCAGCAAGCGAGCGAGCGAGCAAATGAACAAACAACAAGCAGCTGGCCAAGCAGGCAGGTAGCAACAACGGGTTGGTTCCGGTTTGGCGAGCTGTTTGGTTCGTCCCGCCTGGTTGCCCCTATTTAGGATCTCAGCCGCAAGACTGATTTTGCAGCTGACGGCAAGCAGACTGATTGCAAGCACGTCGACGGAGTTACCCTCAATGAATTGGGTGACCGAAATGGGTTCTAGCAACAGGGCCCCAGGCCTGGCTGTCCTTGGCAAGTCGGAATCCGTCCACCAAGGCTCGTTTAGGGCCTGAATGAAGGATTCGGTTGAATGCGGCGTTGAAAGGGTTATTCACGGCAGGTTGCCAGAGAGCTGATGCCAGCATTGCCGCCTGACCCAAGCCAACCATATGAATATGTGGCTGTGTTGCATTAAATCCCTAAAATGGTTGGTGGACAAATCCCTGATGCAAACAACGTCCGCCAAAGGGACACCAACAAATACCTATACCTGAACTCATAGGCTTGCGTTTCACTGTCATGCCATGCTTGGCGCAGGCCGAAATCAAGCATTTGTCTTGCTTGTTCCTTGCGGGGTGCATGCGCAGTTTGCGTATCGCTGGGGGATGTAGGGTCCAAGTGCAAACAAAGAGCAAACAGTTGCGCTTTTGCTCTTTCTGGCCTTATCTTGGTTGCCAGTTTAAAGGGGTCTCCATATTTTGGCCCATGAAAGGTGAGTGTCCTTGCTGGGGGTGATGCTTCAAACGGGAGACATAGGGAAATGACCCCAAGGATCCCCTGCCCAGTTTGGAAGCTGAACGTGACCCCGTTGAAGTGGACGGCGTGAAGCCTTTTTTGCGCAGGTTTCTTCGTCTCAGAAAAGCCTCACATGGTTCACTTTTTCGCCTTGGAAACGCGTCGCCCGAGAATCCTCGTCACACGCTGCTTTTTCCGGTCACCTTCACGCGTAAACCCCCCCAAAAAAAGCCCTTGAAGTTCAAGTTCGTCTCTGTTTCAACCCGGGCCCGTACCGGGAGGCTCCCGGAAGCGGAAGCCGCCAGCCCCAGGCGCTGAAGCCGAAAAATGAGACGGAGACTTTGGACCTGAGCTCGCCGAAGCCCAGGCGAGCCGAATGGGAACCACTCACCCAGATGAAAAACCCATGGGGCGGGTTCCCCAAAGTGAATGAATCCCTCACTAGGGGGCCATCCTGCAATAAATTAAACAGGTTTTTGTGGATCTGGGGTCAATACTAGGGTATCCAAATTCCCCTTCAAGGACTTGCAGGAGTTTTTGGAAGGATATGACGGTTACCTTTCTTCCGAATCGGATTGGCAGAAGGTGTGCCCTGACAAACTGTGCATGGTTACAAAGCCCATCACGAGGTATGGATGAAACCCAAAATCTATGCTGGTTGATAAAAATGCAACACTCCTTTGGCATTGCATCAGAGATACGTCAGGCTACCAAATCTGCGTTCCCCTTGCGGACCTTTGGACGGACATGCCATCGAAACGCGTCCAAACGAGTGCCAGGAAGAAGCTGCGTCTCGCCCCATCCTTGCTGCAAAGAGGCGCAGGCCAAGCGGGGGGCAGCACCTTCAAACGTGGGCAGGGTTCCCTAAATTTCCGCTTTGGGTGGCTTTAGACACCACTTTTTGGGCATACTTCTTGTGGGTTTCCTTTTTCTGTTGCTTTTTTGGGGTTCAGGGTCAAGCATAGGGATCCCCGGTGCTGGTTTCCATGGCACTTGGCTGCACGTCTTTCGATGGAAGGAGTCAGTTCTATCCTTGGGCGCTTGGCGAGGGCACAGCGTTTTGGTGTTTTTGGGAGGCAGGGGCGCGTGCCCGTCCGACTTGGGTCAAGGGCAAGCTGCGACGTCTCTTGAGTTGGCCAGAGCCCAGACCTCAAGTGCCTTTCGTTTCGGAGGCGGCTGCCCTTTCATGTCGAAATCCGGAGGCTCCGGCTTAGCGACACGTGAGTTCCCGCTTGAACAGCTTGGCGTTGGGAGGGAAGATTGGGAACATGTGCGGCATGCCAGTTATGAAACATGTTCACCTCCGTTGATTTCGCCTTT